AGGGTGAGATGGAGTACCTGCGGTTAATTAGATAAGGGAGTGTTGCTGGGTGAATGATGAGTGCCTGGTACATTGAGAAGCCTGGAGAGGCTGTCACTGTGGTGGTTAGGAGAGGGAATGAATTCACTGAGGCTACCACTTGTGCCCAGTCACGTGACCTCTTATGGTTCAGTTTCTCGGGGCCAGACTCATGAGAGTTGACCTTTCTGGCCACTTTCTGTTCCCACTCCCTTCTAGAAGAGCCCAGGTACAAGTCTTGATATCTCTCCCTCTACCTAAGACCACCCTAAAGCTTTCTGCAACTCATCAGTCAATCTGGATTCTTCTTTATGGCCTGGCTTCATTTTATGGTATTTTCCATTTTGGCAAACTTTTTCTCCACATTGCCTTTAAGAGGCAGCCCACCATTAAAAGGAAAGGAGGCTATCTGTAGCATTTGAATGGGAAGCAATGTTGATATGCTTCATGTGCTGTGTGCAGACCAGACCAGAAGCAATGTCAAGACTCAATCTTCCCATGTTCCCTTGTTTTTTAAAATATCCTATTTCATAGGATGTGGGTATTGCTGGCTATTGTCCATCCCTAATTGCCCCAGAGAAGGTGTTAGAGAACCACCTTCCTGATCCACTCAGTCCATCTAATATCTGAAGCAGTTTTCAGAGGGCAGTTAGCAGTCCACTACATTGCTGTGACTTTGGAGACACACGAGACCAGGTAATGATGACGGATTTCCTTCCCTGAAGGGCATCATGGCTTCTTCATTAAAAAAAATAACAAAGCCATCAATAATGCTTTCAGCGTTACTGGGATTAGCTCAATATTGCAGCCGTATCTTGTGAATTAAATTAAATTCCACCAGCTAGTGTGGCAGAATTAGAACCCATGTCCCCAAATCATTCAGATGCGACCAATGTGACAATGTGAACTGTGCCCCCCTCCTCCCACCACACCAAATCCCAGAAATCTGGGTAGATAAATCACTGGCTCAGTTTCTGGAAATAAAAGTAGAAAATATTGGAAATTTCTTGGCATTTGTGGAGAGGGAGAAAAAAATTAATGTTGCAAAGCCTGTTACCTTGCCTTGGAACTGCGGAGGATTTCCAGCATTTTTAACTCTTTTTTCAGATTTCCAGCATCCACATTATTTGGATTCTGTTGGTTTGAAAGTCTAGCTTCAGCTGGCAACTTTGGCCTTAATTGCTGATCCCTGGATGTGAATTTGCTGAGAGGTGCAAAACAAGAGAGATCTGCAGATTCAGCTGCCAAGCACCAGTTAGGGGCAATTCTCGTGCGGCAATATATGCGGGCTCCTCAGTCACTTCTACTGAAGGTGTGGAGTGGCATACAGAAACTCATGCAGTTGAGGGGTGCGGAGTTCAGGAAGCAAGGGAGAGGTTCTGTGTTGCAGTACTGACGGTCCTGGTGCAGGAGGTGTAGAGGAGGGCTGGGATGTCCTGTATTCAGAGAAGAGAAGGAGCCCACCTCACCCTCCTGCAGCAGCTGGCTTCCCATCCTCCTCCCGACCAACAGGGAGCTCTTTAGCATGATGTCAATGACTAAGCTCTCTCACTCTGTCTCTGTGAAGTGCTCAGAATGTTGGTGAAACTTTCACAATCTCCTAGAAAGTCAAAATCCTTCTCCAAACCTCCTACAGCAAGCGAGCAGTGAAAGGTGATTGGATTCTTTAACAAAGCTTCCAACCCTCATCTGCAACATGTTTACTGTACTCAGCGGACACCTGTTAAGATACGCTATTCGGTGAAACAGTAACTTCTTTAATTCAAGACAATATAAGTATCATTCCGTCCTGGGCCAGTAGCGGGATGGGGCCTTGGGTAGGGATTCTATGACTCTTACCAAATAAGCTAGAAATCTCAATACAGAAGTCCAAGCAAGTATTTGACAAATCCAGCTCGCTGCTTTCTCAGAACGGCATCCATATTGGACATTGGGCATTAATCCCCATCTCATGGCTCACTCCATGGCCATTCATAAGCCACCTCCATCAATATTGGCATCAGATATGGGCCAACCCAGTTATAGGAAGGATATTATCAAGCTGGAGAAGACTTAGAAGAGATTTACCAGGATTTTGCCAAGTATAGAAGGTTTGAGTTATTAAGAAAGGCTGGTTAGGCTGAGACTTTTCTCACTGAAGCGTAGGAGGTTGAGAGGTGACCTTATAGAAGCTTATAAAACAATGAGGGGTATAGATAGAGTTAATGGTAGTTATCTTTTGCCTAGGATGGGGGATTTCAAGACAAGGGGGCACATTTTTAAAATGAGAGGAAAGAGATTTGAAAAAGACATGAGGGGCAAATTTTTTGCAGGATGGTAGATCTCCTGACCTAAATCACAGCGGTAAACAGGATTTTTTTTTGGACAATCATTAGTTACTCAAACTAGTGTTTTATGCCAGATTTATTCAAGTAACTGAATTCAAAGTCTCCAGTTGCTGTGAAATCGTGATCCAAGTCATTAGTCCACACTTTAGGATTATTAGTCCAGCAACATAATCACTACCTTCCATCCCTTTATGAATGAGAAATACTAATGCAAACTCAGAATGAAGCACAGACACTGCCATCCATTAGGCTCATCTTCCATTCCCTTGACTTTCTCTGGGCTCAGCTCCTGCATTCTTAACTAACTTTCTGGCATTGCCTACCCTTTCAGCCGTTAAAGCATTGTGCCTCCCATTTCAGAATGCTTTATCTAATGCCCCATTTCACAGAAATAATCATAGAATGGTCCCAGCACAGACACTGTGTTTGTACTGGCCCCCTGAGAGAGCGACTTTGTTTCAATCTGCCTACTCTTTTTCTGCAGTCCTACAGCATTTCTACTCTTAAAATAATTACACCATTCTTCATTGAAAGCCACAACTGAATCTGCCTTCACCACACTCTCACGCACTATATTCCAGATTTAACCACATGCTACGTAAAAAGCTTTTTCCTCATTGTCACGTTTCATTCTTTGATCAATCTCTTTGGTGCCCTCTACCTCTTGCAACTCCACCAATGGGAGATGTTCCTCCCAGTCCACTCAGTCCAAATCCTTGATGATCAAGAGCTCTATCAAATCTTCTCTCAAACTTCCCCTCTCTAAGACCAACCCTACCGTCTCCCTATTTTCAATCAAGCTTGCCGTGAGGTCCTGTTTATTGTGATCCTTGAAGACACAGCTGTTTATGAACTGATTTCCTGGTAGAAGTGTTTGCTCCCTAAGTTAACCTCATGCAGTAAGTATAGGAAATATCTAAAACAACAAATGCATTGTACAGGACATCTGGTGGTTTAGCAAATGTCTTGCAGGAGGACTTTTGCGTGCTGTTTTTAACCACTTCCCTTTTAGATCGAGTAACAAATCAGAATAGCTCTAAAATGTGCAGTATCTGCGCACCATTGAGTAAAAATGAAAGCTTCAAAATCACTCAGCAATTTTGATAATAAAGTGGTTAAAGACTGAGATCGTTAATTCACATTGATTTACTGTAAAAACTGCAGCATGGCTACAAGAACTATAATCAGAAACTCCCTTCAAATACAAATTCAAATACAGAAATCCTTCCCTTTAAACACTCAGTGTTTGGCTTCCTGTTGTTTTGACATGTTGAAAGTTGTGGATAAATTTGTCAAGTGTGCTTGCCAGAGCATGAGAGTGTCAGATAGCGAAAGGGCACACTATATTGGGGAGGGGGGTGGGATGTGGTTGCGGGGTGTGATGGGGGGTCTTTGGGGGCTGGGGGAGGGTTGTGGCAGGGAACAGTGATCCCAGTTGGAAACAACACACCATGAACAAATGTTGGAAGTAAGATAAGCATTTTGAATATTTATTTCTACTTCCATTCTCTAATATGCCAAGGCTGAAACTAAGAATGTTCTACATATGGAATTGTGAGCTTTAATCAATCAGCCAGGATCACAATACTTTGATAGTTCCCTGTGTGCTTTGTCTGACACTTTTCCTGCTTCCCAAAGCTTTCTCCTCCACCTCCAGCCTTAGCTCAAAAGCCTCAAGTCATGCTGGCTAACAGATTCCACAATCAGCTTCCAGTAGCTTCCAAGTGACAGAGCATCAGCAGACAGTGAGCACACCAGATACTCAAACCTAGAGACAGTTTTGCTGTCCTTACACACTGCAGAGGCAAGAATTAAAAACAAAAGCTGTCAGTGTTGACTCCGTGCAAGGAATCTCACTTCTCAGTCAGACGTACCATGCAGGATTAGGCAATGTTGTCCCTGAGGAACATGTACGAGGTTAGCTACAACAATCTGGATTTACCGTACATTGAAATAAACAGGTCGCTCACGTTGTGAAAGTGCAGACATTTCCAAAATGCAAGCAGGCAAAGAAATTAGGTGGTCTGCAGGCCAGCGGAAGCACACTTATAGGTAACGTTCATAATTAGAGAATGGTGCACGGTCGATAATACAGATCTTCAGGCGAATCATTAAACTAATTGCTTGGCTGTCCTTCAAGTGAATGATAATGATTCCTCAGTATTTTTCGACAAAGGACAGGGGAGTTCCACCTAGTGACCTCATCAGTAGTCATCTCTCAACAAACATTGCTGAAGCGGATTGTGTAGCACTGATCTCGAAACCCGGTGGGCAGGGGGAGGGCAGCTCAGAGAGCAAGGTGGTGACTTTCACCTGTTTCTGGAAAGGCAAAGCTGATAAGCACAATGCTGGCAGCCACGCTGTCCTTGCAGTCCTTTACCTTTCCTCCCACTCTTCTCACCCTGGACCTCACACTACCTCAGCGGGAGGCACCGGACTGATTGTCTGGACTCCACCATGGGCAGTCTAAGGCCAAACAGCAGTGCCTGGTCTCTCGTTGTCTTGGACCCCACCGCCACCCCCACTGGACCAAGGCTGCTAAACCAGTGTGGGTAACCAGTGTGCAATAGTTTCCCCACGTTAAGAAAGAACTCTCACACAGGCACTTTCCATACCCACAGGATGAAGTTTGGGACCTGGAACATCAGGACCCTTATGGCCAGTGACACCAGTGGGAATGCCACGCCGCCACCTGTTGCTCAGGAACTCAGGCGCTCTGATACTGACATTGAGAGAGCAGCTCCAGTGCTGCACTGTTGCATGTGCTGTCTTGTGAGTGAGGCTTGAAGCTAATGCCCCATATTGACTCTCTTCTGTGAATGTAAAAGATTTTATGGTTGCATTTTGTAGAAGAGCAGGGAGTTCCCCTAATATCTTGGCTAATACCTATCTGTCAATTAACATTACTGTTAACCAGATTATCTGACAAGTATCACTTTGTTATTCATAGTCATGGAGCCATACAGCATGGAAACAGACCTGTGTCATCAGTTACTCTGCCACAAAAGTAATTACTTGGCAGAGAATTCCTCCAAGGTGTCCAATACTCCTGTAAGGCACTATAGAAATGCAAGATTTAAAAAAAAACACACACACCTTAAATGAGGGCAACCACACACATTAAACAGGCTGGATTCAGGACTGATCTAGCAGCTTATACTTGGGCATCTGTGAGATGCTGAGGGTCATCAAAAATGGAATTATATCCACCGCAACCTGTATCCTCAGTCTACCATTACTGCCAAGGTGGGATATCAATCTATGTTCGGGGAGATGTATAGAACAGAATGCCAAGAGCCATATCAGGTATATCACATATTTAGGAGTTAACTTGAAGTGACAACAAAGTACTTCATGCATGTTGTCACAGTGAAAGCAGCATGTTATAGACAAATCTAAATCATCCCATGGGCAACCGATCACTTCAAAGATCTGTAATTCTATCACATTTTGCAGTGTTTGATTAAACAGGGCTTGGGAGGGGGAGGATCCCTGAATGTCTGCATCTTCAATGATGGCAAAGCCCAGCAGGTGAGTTCAAAAGGCTGGGCAGAAATGTTTACCGTCATCTTCAGTCAGTAGTCCCAAATGGATTAATTCCCTGGATTGGGGCCGGGCGTGGGGTGGGTGGAGAGAGAGAGAGAGATAGAGAAAGAGAGAGAGAGGGAGAGAGAGAGAGCAATACGAATGGTTCTGTACTGTTTGGAGTTTAGGAGAATGAAGAGTGAAATAGACAGAATTCTGAGAGGCTCAAGAACCCGAAACTGGGAACCGTTTTCTGAGAATAAAAGACTACTCATCAAGGACTGAAATGACGAGGGACATATTTACTCAGATAATTCTGAATTCTCTATGCCAGAGGGCTGTGAATACTCAATCACTGAGTACATTCAAGGCCGAGAACAGTAGATGTTTGCCCGCTAATGGAGTGAAAAGATCTGTGGATTGGGCACCAAAATGGAGTTGAGATTGAAGGCTCAATCATAGCCTTATAGAGAGGTTTGAGGGACTGCACAATCTATTCCTTCCCCTGTTTCTCTTTTCATTATCTCAAAAATAGCTGATCACCCTTGATACAGCAAGGCTATAGTGGTGAAGACTTGTGCTCTAGAACTAGTTACATCTTTCGCCAAGCTGTTCCAGGACAGCTATAACACTGTTGTGTATCTAACAATGTTGTCCAGATATGTCTCATTCATAAAAGGAAGGACCAATGCAATGCAGTCTCCCATCCGTTTACTTTCAATCATCAGCAAATTGATGTACTGTTCCTGCACTGTTTTCAACATTGCTACCAAACAGTGTTTGCTCACCAATAACCTGCTTACCAATGCTAAGATTTGGTTTCGCCAGGATCTAGATAGAATCATAGAGTCATAGAGCATGGAAATAGACCCTTCGGTCCAACTATTCCACGCTGACCATGTTCCAAAAATAAACTAGTCTCACGTAACTGGGTTTGACCCATACCTTCCAAACCTTACCTATTTGTGTCTTTTAAACTTTGTAACTGTACCTGCATCCGTCACTTTCTCTGGCAATTCATTGCACACGCTGACCACCCTGTGTGAGAAAAAGCTGCCCCTCATGTGCTTTTTAAATCTTTTTTTCTCTCACCTTAGAATATGTCCCCTAGTTTTGTACTCTTCCACCCCAGGGAAAAAGCCCTTGCTATTCATCTTATTTATGCACCTCATGATTTTATAATTCTCTGTAAGGTCACCTCACAACCTCCTACGCTCTAGTGAAAAAGATCCCAGCCTATCCAGGCTATTTTACCACTTAAACTCTCCGTTCCTGGCAACATCCTGGTAAATGTTTTCTGAACCCTCTCCAATTTAATACTATCCTTGCTATAACAGGGTGACCATAACTGCACACAGTATTCCAGAAAAGGCCTCACCAATGTCCTGTACAACCTGAACAACTCCTATACTCAAAGATAACCTTCTTTATTGTCTACTATACTACTAATTTATGTGTAATCCGCAAACTTACTCTAAACATGCCTCCTATATTCTCATCCAAATCGTTTATAAAAATGATAAACAATAGTGGACCTAATACTGATCGCTGCGGAACACCACTGGTCACAGGCCTCCAGTCCAAAAAAAACCCTCCACCATCACCCTCTGTCTCCTACCTTCAAGCCAATTTGTATCCAATTGGCAAGCTCACCCTAAATCCCATGTGATTTAGCTTTACTAATTAATCTACCATGCAGGAACTTGTCAAAGGCTTTATTAAAGTCCAAATAAACAACATCTATGGTTCTGCCCTCGTCAATCTTTTTGGTTACTTCTTCAAAAAGCAAAAATCCTGAAACACGATTTACTTGCACAAAACTATGCTGACTATCCCTAATCAATCCTTGCCTCTCTAATCCTATCTTTCAGAATCACCTTGAACAACTTGCCCACCACCAATGTCAAACTGACAGATCTATAGTTCCCAGGCTTCTCCGTAACAGCCTTTCTTAAATAAAGGCACAACATTAGCCACCCTCCAGTCCTCTGGTACCTTACCCAGGATTACAGATGGTAAAAATATTTTTGCTAGGTACCCGCAATTTTCTCCCTAACTTCCCACAACGTCCTGGATACATTTGATGAGATTCCGGAAAATTATCCACCTTTATGTTTTCTAAGACCTCCAGCAGTTCCTCTTCTGAAATGTGAACTTTTTTCAAAACGTCAATATTTAATTCTCTGGTTCTCTAGCCTCCTTTTCTTTCTCTACAGTAAAAACTGACGTGAAATAGTCATTTAATGTCTCTCCCATCTCCTAAGGTTCAACACAAAGATGACCTCGTTGATGTTTAAGGGGCCCTACTCTCTCTAGTTGCTCTTTGGTTCTAAATGTACTTGTAGAATCTCTTTGAATTATTCTTGACCTTATCTGCCAATGCTATCTCATATCCCCTTTTTGTCTTCCTGATTTTCCTCTTAAGAATGCCCCTAAAACTGTTTATACTGTTCAAGAGATTAATTTGATCCCAGTTGTCTGTATCTAATATATGTCTTTTTTTGCTCTTGATTAGAACCTCAATATCTTTATTCATCCATTGTTCCCTAATCTTACCAGTCTCTCCTTTCACTCTAACAGGAACATAATGCCTCTGAACTCTTGTTATCACACTTTTGAAAGCCTCCCACTTTTCAGCCACCCTTGACCTGTGAATAGTCTACTCCAATCAACTTTTGAAAGTTCTTGTCACATACCATCAAAATTTGCCTTACTCCAATCAAGAACTTTTATGAAAGGCTTATCTTTTTTCCATAACTATTTTAAAACTAGTAGAATTATGATCACTAGTTTCAAAGTGTTCCCCTACTAACGCCTCAGTCACTTGCCCTGCCTTAAATTCCAAGAGAAGGTCAAGTTTTGCTCCGTCCCTAGGAAGAACATTGACATATTGATAAAAAAAAATCCTTGAACACATTTAACGAATTCCTCACCATCTAAAGTTTAACAGAAAGTCAATGTTTGGAAAATTAAAATCCCCTACTATTTATGACCCTATTATTCTTACATAGATCTGAGATGTCTCTACATATTTACTAATCAATTTCCTTCTGACTATTAGGGGGCCTATAGTACAATTCTATCAATGTGATCATCCCTTTCTTATTTCTAATTTCAACCTATACATTTTCACTGGACAATACCTCAGAAATTACAATAGTAATATTTCTCTTAATCAAAAATTCCATTTCCCCCCTTTTCTTGCCTCCCTTTCTATCATTCTTATAGATTTAAAACCCAGTCCTGTCCTTCCCTCAGCCAAGTTTCTGGAATAGCTACGACAACCCATGTTCCGATACATGTCCTGACATCATCAGCCTTCCTTGTGAGACCTCTTGCATTGAAATAAATGCAGTTTAGTTCTTCAGATTTACCTTCTTGTTACAGTCTTGGTTCCTGTGGGACCAAAAGAGCTAAAGGTAAGATGAGAACAACAACCCATGTCATCAAGACAACATTTGATCAAGTGTGGTCATGGGGAAGTAAAACTGGAATCAATAGGAATCAATGGAAAACATTGTTTGGTGGCTGAAACCATACTACGTTCTGAACAAAGGATGATAGTTTATAGTTCTTGGAAGTCAATCATCTCAGCGCTAGGATGTTAACGTATTGTCCTGAGTCCAACTACTTTCAGCTGCTGCGTCAATAGCTCTTCTCTCATAATATGGTTAGAAGTGGGGATTTTTGCTATCAATTGCACAGGCATAGAGTCATAGAGTTGTACAACATGGAAACAAACTTAATCCAGTCCCAATTGCCAGCATTTGGTCCTTATCCCTTTAAACCTTCCCATTCACGTACCCATCTAGATGCTTTTTCAATGTTGTAATTGTACCCGCCTCCACCATCTTCTCTGGCAGCTCGTTCCATATGCGCACCACGTCTACATGAAAAAGTTGCCCCTTAGGTCCCTTTTAAATAATTCCCTCTTGCCTTAAACCTATGTCCTCTAGTTTTGGACTCCCTGGGGAAAAGACATTGACTATTCACCCCATCCATGCCTCTCCTGATTTTTAAAATTTCTATAAACTCAGCCCTCAGCCTCTGATGCTGCAGGGAAAATAGCCCCAGCCTATTCAGCCTCTCCCTATAGCTCAAACCCTTCAATCCCGGCAACATCCTTGTACATCTTTTCTGAACCCTTTCCCGTTTCACAACATCTTTCCTATGGCAGGGAGACCAGAATTGAATGCAGTATTCCAAAAGTGGCCTCACCAATGTCCTGTACAGCTGCAATGTTCAGCTCCCTTTGCAATTCTTCTTCTATCGGAATAGTTTGTGTGTGTGTGTGTGTGTGTGTGTGTGTGTGTGTGTGTGTGGTCAGACCTGGGTAATTTTTTTCTGATGAAGGACCACTGGACTCAAACTATTAACCTTGTTTTTCTCTCTACAGATGCTGCTAGACCTGCTGTGTTCTCCAGCACTTTCTGTTTTTGACCTGGATAACAATGTGTTGACAAGTGGTAAATTGCATTTGAGCCAGGCTAATACCTTTTTGAACAAGAGCTCTAACCACCTTCCTTTCACTGTCAACAGAATACCATTGCTGAATTTCCACTATTAGGATACTGGGGCTTACCATTCACCAGAAAATTAACTAAACCAGCCATATATTTGTGACTGGTATAAGAACAGGTTAGAGCCTTGATGCTTTGTGGTGAGTGGTTCACATTCTGACTCCTCAAAGCTTTCTTTACTCATTGCACAGTTAAGAAATTTGATAGCATCTCTACTTGCCTAGATGAGTGCAACTCCAACACTTAATAACGTCAACGCCATTCTGAACATTGGATTCTGCTTGATCTGCATCTCATCCACCAATTTAAACAACCACACCCTGTACCACCAATGCACAGTAGCAGCAGTGTATACCATCTAAAAAAATTTACTCTCCCACCTGGAAAGACAAGGGCAGCAGATACATGGGAACACTACCACCTGCAAGTTCCCCTCCAAGCCACTCACCATCCTGACTTGGAAATATATTGCTGTTCCTTCACTGT